CCCCCCCCCCCCCCCAGCTTCATTTGAAGTGCAGCTCGTCCTCTGCTTCCTGTTCTATCACGTACACTAACCCGAGCGTGCAACAGCCACCAAACTGTTCTCCGAAACCGAGTCACTTTCTGTCTGCAAGCACCGCCCCCCCCACCCAACGTCAGTCATTACCTGCTGTAATGTAAAAGCAGAAGCTAATGTATGAACACACTTCGGCCACTGAATGAAACTACGAGCGTTGCATGAAAGTAGCTCTGAACCGACGCCTCGTCGTCCTCCATCGGTCCATTCGGTCTCCTGGACATGAACGGGTTCAGAAATGTGAGGCGATGTTCCTCAAAGGGCTTCGATTCCAGAGTGAAACATATTTTAGACCCATTCAGAAAATGTACATACATGTATGCAAACAGTTCAGGGATTAAAAAAAATAATAATTTCACAGCGTGTTAAAAGAGGAATGGACGATAAAAGAGTTCACGTGTTGCTCTGAAACCATGAGAGAGAAGCAGGAAGTGATCTCTGCTTCACGTTCACAACCAAACCTCTAAAGAGCTGGGACGATGTGTAAAATATTAACACAAATAGAATGAAACCCATATTTTTGTTCACAGTGGAGCAGAGGAAAAAGATAAAACGTTAAAACGAAGGAATTGGTCCATTTTTAGGAACATCAGGTCACTTTAAGTTTGATGACAGCCACAGCTGAGGAGCATTTTACAACCAGTTAGGTTAATGATCAACAGGTCAGTCGGAGGACCGAGTATAAAATATTCATTTTAGAAGTAAAGATGGGCAGAGGTTCACTAGTCTGTTAAAAAAAACTGTGTCTAATAAGTAGAGGAACAGTTTCAGAGTAAAGTTCCTCAACAGAAAATTGAAAAGACTTTAATCTCCATCATCTCCAGTTCATAATCTGATCAACAGATTAGAAGAATCTGTAAAAATCTCTGAAAGGATGAGGCTGAAAGTCAGTATTTTATGGTCGTGATCTTGAGGCCCTCAGGGGCCCCTGCATTAAACTAAATGTTCTGGACATGACTTCACGGGCGCTTCCACAGATCATCTGTAAACACAGTTCATCCGCTAATGCTGCTTAAAGCTCTATCAGACAAAGAAGAAGCCACATGTGAACACCATCCAGCATGTTATCAGCTCACCATTCTAAAACCTACCTCTCTGATGGTATAGGGGTGCATTAGTGCCTCTGACAAGGGCAGCTTACACATCTGGAATGGCTCCATTGATGCAGAAAAGAACATCTGCTTCCATAAAAACCCTCCATCAGACCAGAATGGGAAAACATTCCCTCCAAAAACTGGTCTCCTCGGGTCCTGGGGGGTCAGCTTGTTGTTAAAACATCTAGAGGTGATTCACAGAGTGAAACTTGGACCTGGAGCAACCTTCTGAGAAGTGTTGCCACCATGAAATTCTAAATTATACTTTATTTTTATTCTAAAGAAATTGGCACAATTTCTTTGTTTCAACATTTTATTTTGTTAAAATTAGATTTCTTTGTTAATAAAATCTGGGTTTATAAGATTAGCAAATCATTGCGTTCGTTGTTTATTCATATTTTGCACAACGTCCCGAGGTTGTAAACGTTAACGACGTTCTCAGCTGCGTTCGCTTTTAGGTGAACATCAGAAAAGAAGTTCCTGAATCTGTTTCAGCGCTGACGTGGAAACGCTTCAACGTTTCTGCGTGGCCCTTTTCCCCAAAACCAGACCGCGTATTTTTAGACGTTTGTGACCGCCTCGTGGTTTTCGGCTGGTCGATCTATGCATTACACAAGTCCTGACCTGAGACACGGCGGTGAGCCGCACCGCCACCTGCGGCCCTGGAACGGACGAAAACAAGAGACGGAACACAAAAAAAAAGTTGGATCTCATCAGAAAATCCAGTTTGTCCTTTTATCTGTTTGTTAATGAAACAATAATGTGTCAAAACGTCACTAAGAAACTAAATTCTGTTGTTTCTTTTAACGACGCAGGTGCCGAACGGCCTGTTCAAACCAGTTTAAACGCTCGCCTGGACTGATTGTTACTCGGTTGTAATTCTGTGGATCGTAACGACGACGCTGGTGTTCAGGTGCAGGAAATACGGTGGCCCTGAGGTGTAAAAAAGAATTACTTTAAGCCAAAGCGGAAGTGGCCAAAGTGGAAGTGGATAAAGCGGAAGTGGCCAAAGCGGAAGTGGCCAGAATGACATTAGAAAAAACAGAATTACATTAAGCAAAACTGGAAGTGGTGGGGTTTGTTTTAGTTTGTTTTCTTTTTACTTTATTAACAACAAAACATAACAATGTACAGTACACACATTAACTAGCACATGCTGTTGATTCTGTGCTTAAATCTATTTATTTATAGTTTGCAAAATATGGGGGCTCGCACTGTGTTGGTTTAATCGTTTAAATGATCGTTGTCATGTAAACAATATTACTAATGCCGCGCCAGTAAAACTAAAATGTGCGTCAACAAATCTTAATTACCTTGAGGATCCTGCTGAGTTTTTCCAGCGTTCTAGCTTCTTCTTTAAGCTTGAACAAAACGCTCTCCGTTTCTACAGGCTAAAGGCTAGCCTGCTAACTGTACCTCCGTTTGTGTGCTGTACGTTGTTTTGTTGTTCTGTTTATGTTGTTAATAAAGTAAAAATAAAAAAACACAACCCCCCCACCACTTCCAATTTTGCTTAATGTAATTTCATTTTTTTCAAATGTGATTCCGGCTACTTCCGCTTTGACCGCTTCCGCTTGGCCACTTCCGCTTGGGTTTAACGTAATTCCGTTTTTTTTTTTCTTCAAATGTAAATTCTGTTTTTTCATATGTTGTTCATTTACACCTCACGGCCACGGGAGCTTTCAGTTTGTTGTCCCTCCATGTCTGAGTGTCAGAGGAGCGACTGCGGCTCCATCGTGTGGAAGCTCAGCGTGACTGAAGCCATAAAAAAACAGCCGAACCTCACGCCAGAGCTGCTCTGCAGCTGTCTGTTTCCGTGCACATGTGTGTGTGTGAGCTGTCCTGAAAGCATGAAGTTTACGTTGTTCTGTTGGGCCGACTGGACGCTGTCAGCGCCTCGTGCACCAGTCTGTGTTGAAGGGAACAACAACACCGTTTGTTCCGGTTCCTGTCCAGCATCAGTGTAACAGACAGGCTCTCACGCTCCTCAGTCTCCAGCAGCGATTGTGCAATAAACTGAGATTTATATTTTTAATCCTGTTTGTGATTTAATATTTGAGGATGTTTGTTTCGTTAGTATTTGTGAAAGTGAGCAGGGCAGCCTAAAATGGTAAAGTTTTGAGCAAATGTGGGGATTTTGTTACTCGATTGTCATCATTTGCTGTTTTCAGAGGCTCTGAGTGCACAGACAGAAGTGTCTTTGGGATCATTCGGGATTATTATTATTATTTTTTTCATAAATGATCAACAGTAGGTTACGCTCCAACAAATTACTGGCTCAGTTTGCACAAGTGATTACATTTTGGTTGATTTTTCCTCTAAACCATGTGTGTCAAACTCAAGGCCCGGGGGCCAAATGTGGCCCTCGTTGACATCTTGTCTGGCCCCCAAGATGTTCTTTTAAATGTAAAATACTTTCATCACTTTAATTTTTGTCAGTAATCTTTGATTATGATGTCCAAAGTGAAACAGAGAACATCAAATGAGACCAATCCAACTCTTGTTGAGGAACCTGCAACCAAGAAAAGATGTCGGGTATCTGACTCGAGTTAATGTAAATTCTGAAAACGTCCCTTAGCTTGAAAACGGTTTTAATTTTGACCCCCTTTTGTAAGTGGGTTTGACACCCTTGCTCTAAACTCTGTCAGTTCTCAAAACTGGAGTTTTTCTAATGTTTACTGTGAGATTATTTTTGTTGTAATAGTTCAAGACTGACAGGATTTCCAAAATCTGGCTACACAGTTGTCCCTCGCTACTTCGCGGTTCAACTTTCGTGGACTCACTGTTTCGCTGGTTTTCAACGTAAGACACGACACGTGATTGGCTGATTGATGGAAGGCGACCGACCGGAGCATTGTGCTGAGGGGTGGACTGGCCATCGGGAGCACCGTGACACCTCCCGGTGGCCTGGCCCGCCCAGCGATCGCCGATGAGTCGGACCAAAGGCTCAGCCCGGGTCACGCCCAACCACTTCAAACAAACAATCCATGGGTGCACAACCTGTTGTGTGTCTCTGCTCCGCCACGACAGACAGCCCCACAAAGAGAAAGGCGGGGGTGGGGTCCGTCCCCCCATCACCACTGCCCAGGGAGTCCCAGTGAGGTGAACACCTGAGTGAGCAGCATGGACCGGCCATCCAAAATAATCAAGCGCGACCCAGTCCAGCCCCTCGGCAATCACCTAGCGGGCCAGATCACCAGGAAATGTCCCGGTGCTCCCGAAGGCCAGTTCTCCTCTGTGATTGGTTCAGTGACCATAGCATCAGTCTGTCTGCTCTCTTTCTCTGTGCTCTTAGAGCGTTTCAAGCAGGCGTGTCAAACTCAC